GACAGGTGAAATTGACACCTGAGCACACGCTCGGGGCGAGGGTCATCTCAATAGATGTTTTCTGCAAAATGTTGAATATGTGTACGTATAGTATACATATCAGTTATGTAAAGGGATCATTTGTGTATGTGTGTTTGTTTTGAAATAAACATACGAATTACTGTACATTGGAAAGAATCCTATCACTTGTGTAATCTTATCGACTGATTGTAGAAATGTGCAACGTTTTAATAAATGTTTTGCATGTCAACAGTATATAATATTTCATTGAAAAAATATGGATGTAATTCGGTCAGTTTAATCTAGTTGTGAACATTGGCCAAAAGATTTAACGAAGTCACTGGTGTAGCTTCTTTAGAATATATATATTTTCTTCTCATAAAGTTTGTAGACCACCCGTCTAAGCACTCCCTTGTCAAAGTTGTCAAGGATGGTTTTACGTCCCAGTTTTGCATTTGAGACGGTCCCTGTCTTGTCTGATTTGTTTACAATATTGTAAACTTGTTGGTAAGACATGCCAACAGCTCTACAAGTTCTGTAATAAACCCTTTCTAAACTAATGAAAGGTTTACCTCTGTCTTTTAAGCGGAAAAACCTATAAACCTTTGCAACAATCGACTGCAAATCGTTGGCCATAGTGGACGCTGTGATAAAGATGTGCATGCATGACGGTAAACTTTTTATCAAGACTTAACATTTATATTAATATTTCTTCAATCAAGAAAACGATACTTTAGTAAAGAAACACAAACATGCAACATTTATTTGTTTAGGAAAAACGTTAATTCGTATTTTTACACCACCTGTATTATTAGCATAAATGTAAAGACTATTTCAGATTTCTGTTGTTGAACTCTGAAAAAATCTTAAGTTGCTGTTTTGGTACCAAATTCTCTCCTGTAAACTGCCCTTTAAATGCATGGGAATGTTAAATCGATTGAAATAAAATTAGGTAGACAATAGGCGAGTTGATATATTGACAACATAGTACATTTATCACCTTTATAAAGATATTAAGGCTAAAAGCATTTTTCTAGCATTTCCGACAGTAGATTCTGAGAATCGACCATGACAAATCATCACATAAAAAAGGTAATCATCTTTGTGACCAAAAAAAAAAACCTAGTAAATATGTTATATTACATTCTTTTCTTTTATATATAGGGGCAGGGGACATTTTCATGTTAAAGGTCACATAAACCCTAGGGGGTAATAATACATAAATCACTAACTGGCATCGTTATAAATGAAACCCCGTCATTAAAACTACTCATTTCGACCTTTAATTGACTTAAATCGACCTTTTTGACAACAGTGCACAATTCTCACCCGCGAACGAAATTTCAACCAATCAGAGCGGCGCGACTCTGTGACGTCATATGAGGAATAGCTTTGAGGGCCGATGCAGAATTCATCTACATTTTAGGGGGTAAATTATCTTGTTTACAGGCTTGTATAAACCTGAAATCGTGACAATTGTTGTGGAAAATGAAAGCTATATGTTCTCACAATCTACTGGCATTTAATTTTGTCTCCTGCTTTGCCTAGTTTCCGAGTTACAACTTGTTTTCATAGACGCTTCTGTCACAATTGATTGGTGTCGTTAGGCCCCTATTTGTATAATGACTGATCAAATTGATCCCATTTCCGTGTCTTTTTACCTCGATATTTAATCATGTCATGTAAAAATCTGTTTGTATTCTCAACACAGTGTCGGCCCATACGTTTTCACATGCAATACAGCAATTAATACTCCTTTATTTGTAACCCGTGTTAGGTGGTATAAACCTACACATGTTATTTGTCACCATTCACTTGATGGTCAGTTAATGAATTTATAACAGGTATAATTAGTGGTAACACACTTAGATTATCCGACAAAGGTTCCCATTTGGCATTTCTTGTGTCTGGAGTAAATATTCAACATTATGAACATCGATCAAAGGATTAACCGATAACACGCTGATTGATTAATTACTTTTATCTTACACAGCGGAATTGTCAAAGGTAGTGTTTATGTATGTAGATTTACTAATTATAATCTATACTGAATACACTCTGCCGTGCCGGTGTCTGCGTAAAAACAACGTCCTTCTTTCAAAGGATTAACCGGCAATACATTGATTGATTGCCCATTATTGGCTAACTAAATTACTGTTTTTAATGAAAGGCGGACATTTTGCAATTAGTTGCCAGGTGTGCTATCTTGGGTGACCAATGAGACTATACACCAATACCTGAAAAGATTTATCACTTTTTCGTATATTAAACTGTTAAAAGACACATCATTTGGAACAGTTTTGTGGATATTGATGGATACATTCCTCAAACAAGGTAATGGCCTGACATTGTTCCTATAACTTTAATCTGTTTTAATTTTAATATTTGCATTTTGTTTTTTAATCATTTGTCGTAGCATTCAACAGAATCATTGTTTTCGCCGTGAAGTGTAATGAGACAGACAACATACACTAGGGTGTGTGTGCGAATTATGATTCACATTGACAAACTATAAAATGTCTAGATATTACAGTTCTGTTATAAATTCACTATAAGTATCAGCAGATCGTCAGCTTTTTATTTAGTTTCAAAATGCATAAAAGTATGATAATAAACTAATTAGGATTATAAGACCAAATATAAAGACGCACATTGACTAGTATCTACATACTGGTGAGTGGACATTAACCATGTGAATGTAGCAAGAAATTTATCGCGCAGTATTGTGACTTCGACCCCCACCTCGCTTCCGTGGAAGAAATCGTTATGTTATAAGTTGTGTCATGCAAAATCCGTTTGGTTATGATTCCAATACATATTTAACTACGAGTAGAAAGTAGTTTTGATTTTCTAACTTGATGAAAACAAACTATAATCTCATTAATTCTAACAGACTTTACGATTTTTTCAAAGTGGCGGCGCCCTGTCGGGAACATCCGCCAGTCTGTGGATAAATGCTATTTAGGTTTGTTTTCACTTGTTATAAAATCAAAACTACTTTCTATTGGTAGTAAAATATGTATTTTATTGATGGCCAATAGGATTTTGCATGACATAACGTATAACATAACAATTTCTCTCCTGGCAGCGAGGTGGGTGTCAATATAATACTACTTACAATATTATTGTTACTTCGACCACAACCTCACTTCCGAGGAAGAAATCGTTATGTTACAAGTTGTGTTATGGGAAATCTTTATGGTCATCAATCATATACATATTTTACTATAACTAGTAAGTAGTTTTGATTCTTTAACTTCCGTGAAGCGATCTGAACACAAGTAAGATATCGTTTCAGGCTTCCACAACGCTCGCTTCGCACTCACAAACATAACCCATTTAGCACGAACTGCGGGATCCTGTGGAAATCTGTGCATGGTGACACCATCACCCGACCCCTAGGAGCAATTGACTACAAAGCAACGATTCGGCATGTCGTCGTTCATGTCGAGAAATCATCAAAATGATGAGCGTGCTACACACTTTCTATACAACTAACTGAAAATCGTTCCTCATATGACGTCACTGCAGTGCTCTGGCGACAGAGTTACGTAACCTGTCTGTGGTTTCGTTGGCGGGCGAGAGGGAAGCAGGCGACTTTTTGGCCACTTTTAATCGCTCGGTATTAATTAACCACAAGTTTTAAAGAATAAATTTGGTGTTCCGCATAAGACTAACCACAAATCTTTCATATGTAATGGTTAAAAGAGTAACAAAAACAAAGTTTAGTGGTTCTTTAAGTACTGTCGGAAATAGAAAAAAACTTTTTCGCTTTTATATCTACAGTTTAAGTAGTTAACATGTGAAAGTATGAAATATCTGTTAAACTAAGTTCGGCCTAACTACATTCGCAATGGTAGGGAGATAGAAAATGTAGAAAAAGTACTTTACTTAGGAGAGATAAGTGCAGAAATGAGCGAAAGTCCAAAGCGACTTATTTGGAACAGACCATGGTTTTGTGCAAATTAGTGTGCGATGATATTGTATTACAAAGGACACTTTTTAAATTCCCATTTTGAAATTGAACTTAGCTTCATTATAAATGACAGCTGACGTACAAAATAATAACTTTAATACTGAAACTATTAAGGATGTAGCTACCACGGAGTCTCTCAATCATTATAAAAAGAAACAGGTAGGAGGGGTCGTCACAAAAGCAAAACCACAACGGGTATCGCAGACAGTGGCTGGGGGATAGAGATAGGATAATCCTTTAGGGGAATTAAGCTGTGGAAGAAAACGGCATGTCAACAATTTACAAATAATATCCAGTCCTGTCTATCTTCGGGTGGTCCTGCCACATATATTTTGAGACATTTAATACGATGGCTGATTTAAGCTTTTCTATGGGTATGGGTATCATCCTCTTTTACATATCTCAACATAAACTTTATGAAAGACACGTAAGATGTCAATCAATAGATGAGACATGTTCAACACACTTGAAAAAGCATATAATATCATTGATATGACCCCTTGTGCCTGTATGCAGCACATGCATTTCATGCCAGGTGAGTAGACGGTTCGTCGTCATACCTGGCTGAGCGACCTAATTGCCATCTATAGTCTGATCTATTGTTTTCAGCAGCTATTCGCATTTTTTTTAAAGCTTTGCCCGATTTTACGAGTAAACGTGCTTTTCTGGATATCCTATTACGCATTCCACTGAATGCCCAATTAGGCCGATGTGGGTTATTTCGACATATGCTATTTGCAATTGTGTAAACTTTAGGGATACAGAGTAACAGTCTAAAAACAATTTTTTTTTCTATTTCCGACAGTACTTTAGTGCCAAACACTTGTTATGCTTTGTGGTCAGTGAACAAGTTTTCACCATTCTGTATTCATGGTGTTTCCAAATAATTTCTAATGAAGAGAAAGACCACTTGGTTGGAAGATTACGATTATGAAGGGCCAAGACCTGGTGTAAATAAACGCGCAAATAAAAAGGCTTCAATTACTGAAGTTATTGGCTTGTTCTCGGAACGTTGAAAAGCACAGAATGGTATATACATTTATTGCTTTGTCATTTCAAACACGAACAAAGGAATAATTTTTAAAAAATAGGAACCGTTACCATCATTAATTAGAAGTCACAAGCACTGGAACTTTGAATACGCTACTTTGAACAATTGGTTTGGTTAGGAAATTAATCCTAACAAACTGCAAACTAATGAATACGACAGTCATTGCTTTTAAGATATCCAACGCTTTACGAAAATGAAGGGCAATTCCCAACCTTTGTCAAACAAGATGTATGTTACGCACGTGCACAGAATGACATACTAGTAACCTTCAGGTCGGTTTGATCCCAATGTCTTTATCCGACATGTCGAAACAGAAGATTTGTAACATTGGTTTAGGAAAACACTTTCCAAAGTCCGTGAATTGGAAAAGTAAGACCACAGTCCGAGATCAGTGGGTAGAGTTGTATGACCTGCCGTGACGGATGACGATATCCATGCGAAAACGAAGCCTACTGTCATGGATGGTTCGCACTGATAGTGCACATAACCGTGAAATACAATGATCAGTAGGATCTTCTGAAATGTGAACATTTCTACACCACCAGGCCAAATATGCTGGTTCATAGCTTTGTACTTAGGTGTCTTAATAAGATCTAATTGTTTCTGTTATTGATATGTACGCAGTGAAGTTGCACACAGAGGTTCCTGGTCATACCGACTACACTTTTGGAATGTTTAATGTTCCATATAGTAGAAACAGGCACTCGACACAAGGCAAAAGTCTGGAGACGATATACACACATAGTGAATGTGACCTCAAGCTTTGGTTCAAATCTGACCAGACGATACAATAACCATGATGAATTCAAAGGTAGATCTATCCGATAAGATTATCATTAAGTTCCTTGACCACTTTGGGCAACGATTTGGTTTGGCTTACTGGCCATAATTCTCGACAAAGCATTCATGTTTCTTTTCACCTTGAATCGGTAGACCCAAGGGGCGTCCTTTTTTGGCAAGATTTTCTTTGGTGGGGGCAGAGACGTCAGATCGTTGTAATCGGCCCTTTCTGACATAACATTGGAGTACACAATTGGGGTTTCCATAAAATCGGGAAGGCCGATTTGGTCGTGATTTGAGCTGTTTGACATTGAGAATTTTTCTGGAAATCTAATTCCTGGCTCAGGAAATCTGACACCAGACTCAGGAAATCTGACCCAAGGCTCTGGAGATTTTACATCAACTTTGATGCCCCATTCTGTCTCTCGTTCAGACGCAGACTTGTCTCTCGTTCTCGTACTTGACTTTCTTGTCCTGCTTGAGCGGTTTGACCTTGACGACAGACGTCCTGACGTCGATTTCTGTCGGGTCCTTGATGACATGGCTGGCTCCAGTTGAAGGTCAGGAAGCTGCAAGTAAAGATTGGTGTTCGATATAGGTGTCAAGTCGTAACTCTGAAAATGAACATTTTGAGATGTCCATACGAATATTGAAAACCAGATTAACTGAAACTGAAAAAGTTGTAAGTGCGGTCATTGTGATGAAGATAGATTTTATATATAATTATTTCGTTTGTAAAATGGTACTGTCACCAAGTGCTGGATCTGATACATGTTTAGCTGAATGCTTGTCATCAGAATAAACCCCCCAGCAAAACCCTTTCCATAATCGTATAAAGGCAGTTGTACAACGCCGATTTCACCACAAGCGCGTCATGATTTGGTCAGTCACGATACCAGGTGTTCGTGAAAAGTTTTGCGGATCCTGCTCCGCAATGGCAAGTCAAGTGATGAACTGTGATTAGGTGAAATTGGCTTTTAACGTTATGTTCATATTTCTTAATTTTGTATTATGTATTTTTGTTTGTTTAGGGAACACATTTAAGGGGCTCGTTGTGAATGCCAACGTCTCTAGATTTGGATGAGTGCTCGTACTGAAGAATGGCGATAATTTTATGGATATACAACTTCTTAAATATACACATGGAAACGAATAAGGGAACACATGAAAGTACAAGTGTTCCTTTATTCTTTTCCAGGTTTCTTCACAAGATATGTATTGCACTGTGAGTGAAATTCTGGAAATAAATAAACGAACACTTGTACTTTCATGTGTTCCTTTATTCGTTTCTAAGAGCATATTTCAATATTTTGTGATGTTGGCAGTGTCTTGAAAGTCGGGCACTGCAGCACATCGGTGGTAGGTGAGTGAGTGAGTATGGTTTTATGCCGCTTTTTAGCAATATCACGGCGGGGGGACACCAGAAATGGGCTTCACACAGGTGGTAGGCAAGAACTATATTCCAAACACAGTACTGTTTTAAGATATACTTATGCATGACTGTCAACTGGTTTCAGCTGGAGGCCAAGATTTGTCAACGCAGGGTTGTCCGACTTACAAAGGTATACACGATCCTGGGCGACAAAGAGAGCGCTGGCCCGTCACTGATTGTATTGTACCCATGAATCTGTTCCGGGTGAAAGAAGCTCTTATATGAACACCAGTATAGAGGCACACCTATAGCTTTATGCTGTAACACATTGACAACCAAAGCCTTGCTTAGCCGGGTCTAGTACATACGTTCACTTAGTGTATTATACCATACATTATATGTTATATTCCTTCCCTGCAACAAACATACGGGTATCAATAATAGGCCAATATTCGGCATGGGTAAACACCAAAGGTATAGGAATTCGGGAAATGCTGCAGCCTCCCAGTAACCCATACTGGCTGGTGATGGAGAAATGCCATACTACTTTTGGAATCTGATATTTAAGCCATGTTATGGTTAAATTGTAATTTCTCCTTAGGTTTGCATAATGGCTTGCACAAAATGCACGTTTAGAATGATCGGTGAAATCCTGGTTCGGAATCAACTTCAACAATGATAAAGTAACGTCACGATTATTTAATTAAGTCGTGGTCTCGCTTAGACGAAACCATTTGTTAACTAACCTCTCTGCGGATCAAGAAAACGGCTGTCGAATATGATATGTCTCTGAAGCAGGTATCTCCATGTGATAACCTCATCTTGATTGGCATATATAGGTTCAAATCATGGACACTATTGAAATTAATACCAGATGCAGGCCAAGTGAAGATCCTGGTCTTCAGTAACCCATGTTTGTCATAAGAGGCAACTAACGGGATCAGGTGGTTAAGCTCCCTGACTTGGTTGACACGTGTCATCGTATCCCAATTACGTAGATTGGTGCTCATGGTGTTGATCAATGAATTGTTTGGTCCAGACTCGATTATTTACAGATCGCCGCCATATACCTGGAATATTGCTGAGTGCGGCGTTAAAGAACAAACCAACCAACCTAGTCGGCACAAGCTCGACGTATATTTCAGTAAACGGGATACACTAGTACTAACGGGTTTTTTTCTACACATTTCGCATTAACGATGATCTCTACTCTGTCAAGCACTTCGAGTTAATGGGGTTCACTACTTGTCCAAGCACATCGGGTTGACGTAGTTTACTACTCTTCCAAGCACTTCGAGTTAACGGGATTCATTTTTCTCACTCTACATGTCTTCAGTAGTTGTAGATACATGCCCCCCTTGTCGAGTTAAAGAATTCACTTCTCTTCCTCTGCATAACTTCACTTGTAGTAGTTACCTGGCCCCGATCACAGGTAGACAACCCAGCGTGCAGGACGTCGCGACTCACTGTTCCCCAATGCTGCCCTGTAAAGCTTCTTTCAGCTGATTATAGCAAACCCTTCCCCCGTGCCGCCATTAATTGGCTTTACGAAATAAGGGTATTGATGTTAACTGCGATCTACACAATAAAACGTGACGAGTAAGGGAGTCAATCAAGCACATATCTAAAGAGTACGACAACGAGATCATGTTTCTGTATGTCGTTACTGTGTTCGTACCCCGTTCTACTATAAGAGGCCGGTAACCCATTGCTTAAACTGACAGTTGCCAGTGGTACCTGTGTTGGGTTGTCAGTTGTTAAACGCTCGAGATCTCCACCCAAAACTGCGCAAATATATTATTTGTTCTTTTCTACTGTCTTGAAGGACTTAATAATATATTTATAAGAAAGTAACTTCGAATCGAAATGTTGGTTATTGGTAAATAACTTGGAAATCTAAATCGATATACATTATTGCTTGTGTGATTTTCATTATGAATTATCAGGAATATGAAAAAAAAACCTGTCTGGACCAACATCAAGTGCCTGTCTTTGCCCTTTTAAACTGTAAGCCCAGCTACCATCCACCCGAACCCTTACATACATCCATATATAACAACAGACTTTCGCCGATACATAAATACAGAATTATCTAAATGAACATATAAAAAACATGATGATAGAACCAGACAGAACTGAGTAAAACATTTTGAACAGCAACTTAAAAACCCAAGTCAGAGCTGTCTACCCTGGCGTACCTCCAAAGGGAGATGGTATCACGCGAGAACTACTCCAGTACTTCAGTACAGTGTCACCTGTAATTATCACCTGTATCGCTGCTTTGGTCCCGTTAGCCACCCCAATCCCTCAACCAATACCCCGTAGCACCTCGACACTGAGCCTTGACAATACTTCACTACCTGGATCAGCTGTCTCACAGGCACACATTACATTTCTTCTTTAACCAGTAAATCCTATTGATTAGCTCCAATAAAAGAAAAAAAGAAACAGTTACACAATAAATCCGTGGTATAATTGTTACCAGTCATGCCGTGGGTCCCTGCTCAGTTCACGCTGAACCAAAGATCAAGAAAGAATATTGCAGAGTTCAGTGACGTACTGAAGGGGACAACGCCAGAAGGCATTGCGCCGACACTGAAACTAAACACCAACAGTGTTTCTTGAAGGGAACTGTACGCTTTCATGGAGTTTATAATACGTTGTTTAAATTCTTGTAACTTAACTGAGTGATTTAACACTACCGAAACTGCGCACCATCAGGATTAAAAAAGTAATTTCATGATGAACTGCCGGACAAAAGAAAGTAAAAAACTTTAAGGTGGATTTGACCTTAAGATTAAAACGTTATGTAAAGGTTACTTGGCTGAAAACAGTCACCGACTCACGGTACAGAGCAAAAGAAGAAGAAGGACACCACACGGAGTGTGGCACAGATATGGACACGACCATTTATAAAAGAAAGATATAAACATGGCACAATGCAATAGTTTATTGTCTACAGAGGGGACGCATATTTGTAAATGAAATAGGAGATGGCGCTATATTCACTGGGTGTTTGTAAGTGTTTTCTCAATGATGTAGACTGAATTGAACGTAATCCCCTGGAATATATGTCAAACACAAGGCAAACCCTACCCCTATCTCTCCAACTACATGCCACACGGCTGACTCCAGGGTCCTGCAGGTAGTGTTTGCTGATACAACACTCCCACTAGAGTCACTTAACTTGTATAACCAGTACTAGAGACTGTGGAGAGGGTCATTATAGTCTCATGAACTAGCAAACACAATGAGGACGGTGGATGATCATTCTTCTTGAAGTCAATAAATCATTCGCAAAGCAGGTGGAGAGCATGATTCCAGTATCTTGTCAGGCAGGAATTCACGAGATAAAGGCTTTTTCTTGATAACATTCGCCTTAAAACAGTATATTGTGTTATAACAGATTGTAATGTTAGGATAACGTATGTTAGTTTAAGCCGTGCGTTATTGAATTGGCATAGTCAGCACAGTTAAATATACTTCTCATAGAGCTTAAGGGCCACCCGATTCCTTCCCATCACTATGGTTAATCTCTCGTGCCGTGACAGTTTAACTTTAGCAAGATGGAAGAGTTGATAGTCCTTAATTGTTAGCATGTCGCATACTTAGTACTCTATACACCACCATTGTACCATCGGGTATGGAGAATTTGTTCCCGGGTGTGTTTTTCATGTTGTGATAGTTTTGATATTATAGTTTGTTCCATGTGTAAAATATGCATCAGTAAGACACGAGTGAGTGAGTGTGTGTGTAAAAGATTTACCATACCCGCTGTGGTTCATGTTATTCTTTAGTTATTTCTATAGGAAAATGACAACTGAAACAGGACTGAACAGTTAAAACATGTTATTGTACTGATAATTGTATTGATAAATTAATGAAATATTAATGAATTTAAACTAAATTTGAACATTCTGTGAATGGGATGATGAACTAAACAGAAGTACCAAACTGACACGTCACTCAGTTTTTGAGTGGATGATTGACAGTATGAAGATCTAAATGTATTTTTTTATAAAACTCAAAGGCATGCTGTTATGATGATTTGTAAAGGTATTATGGTAGAGACACAAGTCATGTTATATATTTAAAAATTAAAAAACATATGTAATTTCGAATATCTGCAATCCGCTTGTCTCGAAATGGTTCTCAGGCATTGATACACATATGAATAACTCTAATGCCTTAGACGTGGGGCCGAATCCTATAATCACCCCATGCACGTTTCTTCTTATGTCAGGGACGTCGGGATAGCCTAATAGTTGAAGCGTTCGCTCGTCACGCCGAAGACGCGGGTTTGATTCCCCACATAGGTACAATGTATGAAGCCCATTTCTGATGTCCCCCGCTGTGATATTGCTAGAATATTGCTAAAAGCGGCGTAAAACTCAACTCACTCACTCTTCTTATGTCAACACAATACCCTTGGTCAAGGGTTTCGTCAAAGTGGTTGACAGACTGGTCTTGCTAATGTCGGGCTCTCCTCTCACATCAAGTGGTATATTATTCAAACGTCCTTAAACCAAACTCATTCCAATGCTTCTAAAACAGACGGTACAGACACAAGTATGTGTGATATCATGACTCAACAAGCTACCCAGGATAACTTTCCACCTCCCCACGCGACTGAATAGAGCCATTCAACGAGACCCACAGGATCTTGACCCCATGTGCTATATCGGTTAAAGGCAGTGTATGAAATAAGCCAAATACCCAGCCCGACATCTGGGCTGGTAACTTCTAAAACCAGCCCAGAAGAGATTTAACCATTCCTTCTTAAATACTAAATAGAAAGTATCAGTGGACATGTAATCTGAATAATTTTTTTCACCCGTCCATCGGGCTGGCTAGCTGTAAAATTAGACCGTCCGGCAGAAATCTAGCCCGTCTCGGGCGGTCGGACAGGCCTTATTTCATACACAGTTAAAGGGGACTTTATTCCGGCCTATAGCTAAACACGCAGTGATTGGTAGCATAGACACCCTTTGCTTTAATATCCTATACATTAATTTATCCCTTTCAAGGACCTTCATTCCTCGCTTCATCATGACTAGTGGAGGTATAGAACCCGAGGACAATATACACCAATATGGTGTCAGTGATTCCTGTCACATGATTGATGTCTTCTGTCAGGACAATGACGTCTTCTCCATGTCAACACGCGGAGGTTAGCGCCATAATGGCTTCTGAAGCCTGGACATGCTCATGGGACAAATACCGCTGGAGATCAGCCTCATGTTATACGAACGTTTGGGCACCGTTAATTCACCACCAACTGTTGATGAATCAGCTAACTTATGCAATGTTTAGATTTTCCTTTTGGCTAGATGTTATTTGTTTATCAGACCTTAAATAGGACAATATGTATCGGGAAAAGAGGGTTCCTTTGATATATTTTAATAAACACACGGATTGCAATAAGTATGTGTATAGCAAATGTACCATTGTATTGGCGTCATAAATACATTATGAGATTGGTAGAAAGTCGATGTATTTGTGTGTGACGTATTAGTAATTTGACCCTTACGTGTAATACTGTCTTAGTGGGCAAGTGGAAAGAGTGTCAGCCCGAACGGTCAGTGGTTCTATACTCAGCCATATTATCTGGTACATATTGTTACCCTCCCTGGCCTCGGTATTAAGGTGTCCATGTTTACCTGGGGCATGGCGTCTGGATCATGAAAGCAACTAAAGTCCGCATAATTACAAACGGTCACTTAACAACATGCAAGTACGTCTTAATAAACGTGCAATAATCTCTAACGCGACATTATACCAGAACTCATTTCCGGCCATCACTTGCTTTGCCTTTGTATGTGTTTGTAACGGGCGGTGCGGCAGGATACGCTCACCTTGTCACGAACACCTGGTATCACCATTGTTGATATCGATTCATAAACATATGCCCACAAATCACATTTAATCTTACCTCGATTTGTGTACAGTGGGATTGTGAAGATTATGAGCTGTGTAGGATAGGATTTTAAATGCATAATGATCTTTGAATATAGACACATATACTCCCTTTCAAAAGTTTAGACTCACTAGTGTATATATGGCCACTTACTTCAGGCAACTGTTCTAAACTAAATTTTGCCAACTATTCCATACTGTTTAAAGGTAGGGGAGACCGGGGTCAATTGTAACACTTTTTACTTAACTTCTTGTAGTTCGATCCCAGACGACCGCTCACACAAAATTAATCGATACTAACTAGTACATTGGCTTCTTGGCTTTAAACCTCAGTGTCGTTTCAAGTTCACTATGATGTCTTAACGAAGTTATTACGTATCAAATGCAATGACTACAAGTGTTACAATTGACCCCTAGCACGGGGTAATTGTAACAGGTGGATGGGGCAATTGTAACACAGAAGGTTCAAATGTAACAATTTGTTTATTTTCCAAATAAAATCAAAATAAAATGTGGAAAGATGTTATCTTGATCAGTTGAGGTGGAAATGGATTAACAATAAACCTTTATCACCATCACTTGTATTGGTATGCCCAAAATATAATACAAAGACTAACAACAAAAACTTTCACCCGATGCTGATACTATCAACATAACCCTGAAAATGTTCTACTATGATAAACCTAGTAAAGAACTAACATAAAACCTTCATCATAATTTGCTTTATTATCATAACACAAGGGAAAATTACATGGGGGCAATTGTAACACAGTGTTACAATTGCCCCTAATGGCAGTAGCCATATTTCATGCCACGCACACGTAAACAAACTTGGGCTTCTCAAATATTTCTGCTTCCAAATATGTCGTAATATCTAAATTTTACACTTGAAATGTTAATTTCATACCAAACACCATGTACTGCATTAAGAACGCTTAATACGTTTTGTGAAAAAATTTACTTACCTATGTGAAAAACGATTTTTCGTCAACTGTATCTCGCCATAAGCGAGCAGATGAAAAACGCCTGGATGAGTACCGCAGGAAAGTAAAGGGAAATAACCCTACTCACCTACACTATGCTTGAGCGAAAACTTTTAGAGTAATTGCCCTTGTTACAATTGACCCGTGTTACAATTGACCCCGGTCTCCCCTACTGTTTACACATGAAATGATGCATTGTAAGACAAATTCGTAACGTTGAAAAGGTTATTGTCATGAGTTCAATAAATGATAAAAATCAGTGAAAATTGGCGAATTCTTAACAAAACATTACACCAAAACGCAGCTGTTCACGTGCACGATATTTACACATGCTTTTCAGCAATCTGATGCATGATCCTCGTGCAATTCATCTGCATGAAGTTTGCAGTTGGTTCCCCAAAGTTAGTGGAGAAATCAATCTTAGATGTAACCATAATTTATACATAACATATAGTGAGTGTTTTAAGTGAGTCTAAGCTTTGGATGGGAAGTATATACACGTATACATGTATTTTGACCTTGTATAGCGGAAGAATATGTAATAAAACATTTGAATAAGAAGAAGGATGTGCAATATAATATTTGTAAGTTTAGGTCGTATATGTAATGACCCCTAAGTTCTTTAGAGAACTACGCAAAATAACATTTGTGTATTGAGGAATTATATGTTGTATATTCAAGTATAATGGAAGTGTGTGTGTGTGTGTGTGTGTGTGTTTTTTTTTTTTTTTGTGTGTGTGTGTGTGTGGGGTGGGGTGGGGTGGGGTGGGGTTGAGGGGTGTATATGTGCGCGCGTGTGTGGAGGAAGTATAGGCATGCGGTATTTGTGTAGTTATAAAACTGACAATATTGTTTCTGAACTAATTGCACATCTTACATGTTCGCACAAACAGATGACGATATTCATAACTAAATTCTTGAATTTTAGCAAATCATTGATTTCAGACAAAATTAAAAAGTGTTTTCCGTACTAGGTCAGGTTAGACTACACTCGATAACTTTGTGGGCCTCGTCTTTCACACATGCTGAGCTGTAAAATGTATTTATCTTGTTTTAGTTTACAAAGCAAACACGAGCACTGGTGTAAAGGGCTTCAAACGTGCCGAGCGTAATCCCTTGAACTTAATCTGTATTTACTATCCATTTAAAGAAAAACGTACTGTTGTTTACTTAAACGTGTTGCATGAAGCCACTTACTGCTATCCTTATACTGGTATACTTGTTATTGGCATTAAAGTAGAACTGCCACGTTTCATACGACGTAGTTCGTCAAAGTGCAGGTTCAAGGGCAAGTATATATCGGTTAGTTTCTGTCAAAACATAATATGGTAAGGTTTTACGACATCTTTAATTTCTTGCTTCTTGAAATGCGTGAGGGTAAGAAGAGCACTGATTCCGTAGTCGTTAGTCAGTGTGAACTGTGTTTAGCGCCATGTCATGGTTGGGGACACTATAAATGGCTCCAAAGGTTGCACCCTTGAAGGAATCGACTATGGGCTTTCCCGGTGACGAGCAAACGCTTTAAAAAACACTAGGCTATCCCACTGCCCCTAATGGTCATCAACATGCACTGACTTTGTTGTTGTAACACCTAATTCAGACTGACAATCGAAGGCCAGGCCAACCTCTAGTACAACCGATAACAATCAGAACAGCCATTATGTACATAGAACAGACATAGACATCGCCCGTGGGGACACAGATATGTATGGGCTATGTAGTCTCACCTCAACATTCTTGGCACGCGGTTGCGAGGGGGGAATCACTCGCAGTTTGACGGAGGGAAGGAACCCAGTCACACCTCTCTTCTTGAGACTTAGTTGAAAAGCATTGCCATCAAACTCCACAACTTTGGGACGAGTCGTTGGTCTGGATTTAAACCTCTGGGCATATTCCTCGGGAGCGTTGGTAGAAACAGGCGCCGTCTTGGATCTCGATTTCCCCTGTGTGGGGTACGTCTCCAGGATGTCCGTGAAGGTGTAGCTGAGGGGTCGGGGAGGGACGCTGCGGTAGATCAAAGACTGGGCACTTGTTCTTGACACCATCTTGGTTCCGAAGCCTTTGGACGCAATTCCGTCTCTAAAGGGCGGAAGTCGAAACGTCGCCTTACCCACATTAGCTGCCACCCTTGTGGCGGGCTCCGCGCTCTGTTGTGTCATATCGCACTCGTACACAATCGGATTACCCAGTCAATCCTATTGTGATTAAGGGTGTTACAGTATATGTATTCATGTTTATGTCGTCACAAAACCTCTGCGACCCTGATATCCAGCAGAAAGGCTTAGGGCAACGAGAGTCTGTTTCTTACACTGTACGAAGATTGCATGCCCAGTGCTCTCCCCACACCGCCGATCAATAATCTATAGTCGATCATCCATGGGACGCTACACTACATCTATCAACATATGACTGTCTCAAAGTATTATTCGGGCAATGCGCCGGTCCTTGGCGACAGGAGCGCTATACATGACTTATACCTACTCCATGCCCAGACCAAATTACAAGGGCTTTTGTGCAAACGCATGAAAAGATTTTTAGAATCAGTTGTTCGTGTACATAGTGGCTTAGAGCTCTTCGCTTGGCCCCACAATATTTGACGTAGTGATTAGAACTTACTTTAACATGGAGGGGTTAGCCTGTTTATTGAAGTTATTGAATTATTGACAAAATGTTTATACGCCCTTATCGGAGGAGTTTTTGGGTAGACGTGTGTTGGACATAGGTTCAACTAGAACACGACTGCCGTGGTGTATTGTTTTAGATATCGGCGATGTGGTGATCTGTTATCGTAAAGACTTTGAGTACTGTCAGTTGAAATGGTTGTAGTTTAAAGTAACCATTGACCTAACTGTTGTGAGTATTACAGGGCTATGTTGCACACTGGTTGTAAATATGATGTGTTCGATTATTTAGCATTTTAAAGTGTCAAGGGCGGTGGGTACATGGGTACAATGTGTGAAGCCCATTTCTTGTGTCCCCAGCCGTGATATTGCTAGAATATTGCTAAAAGCGGCGTAAAACCATACTCACTCACTCACTCACTTTTAAAGTGTCGATGTTTCTCTGTGAAACTAACAAACAACAAAGAACAACAAACTAATATTTTATATACTTACCCAATTTTACAAGTCAATGCAAGTTACTGCAAAATAAATATGCAATCACAGAATACAATAGAGTGAAAATTCAATCACAGTACAATTACAACGGCACAGAGCAACAGTAGTGGTCAAGTTTTCAAAGTAGGCCCGGGCTGGACATCTCTGGGTGAACATCTCCCTTTCTTAAGAAGACATTTTAACTGAAAATACGAGCAGTAATATATTGTTAGGTAAAGATATTTCTTATGCTTATTGTAATAGTTTCCTCACTCCTGTTTACGTAATATATTACAAAATAATAATTCACATCCAGTGTGAAAATACGGCCTTCACTTGACAGTTGGTCTTGATGTAATGTGAGATGCGAGAGGTATGCACGTTTAAACCTCCTCATGTAAAGTGAGATGCTAGAGGTACGCACGTTTAAACCTCCTCATGTAATGTGAGATGCGAGAGGTATGCACGTTTAAACCTCCTCATGTAGTGTGAGATGCGAGAGGTATGCACGTTTAAACCTCCTCATGTAGTGTGAGATGCGAGAGGTATGCACGTTTAAATCTCCTCATGTAGTGTGAATACCTGCAGAAAGTTTAAACCTCCTCATGTAGTGTGAGATGCGAGAGGTATGCACGTTTAAAACTCCTCATGTAGTGTGAGATGCTAGAGGTATGCACGTTTAAACCTCCTCATGTAGTGTGAGATGCTAGAGGTATGCACGTTTAAACCTCCTCATGTAATGTGAGATGCTAGAGGTATGCACGTTTAAACCTCCTCATGTAGTGTGAGATGCGAGAGGTATGCACGTTTAAACCTCCTCATGTAGTGTGAGATGCGAGAGGTATGCGCGTTTAAACCTCCTCATGTAGTGTGAGATGTTAGAGGTATGCACGTTTAAACCTCCTCATGTAATGTGAGATGCAAGAGGTATGCACGTTTAAACCTCCTCATGTAGTGTGAGGTATGCACGTTTAAACCTCCTCATGTAGTGTGAGGTATGCACGTTTAAACCTCCTCATGTAATGTGAGATGCGAGAGGTATGCACGTTTAAACCTCCTCATGTAAAGTGAGATGCGAGAGGTATGCACGTTTAAACCTCCTGATGTAATGTGAGATGCTAGAGGTATGCACGTTTAAACCTCCTTATGTAGTGTGAGATCCGAGAGGAATGCACGTTTAAACCTCCTCATGTAATGTGAGATGCGAGAGGAATGCACGTTTAAACCTCCTCATGTATTGTGAGATGCTAGAGGAATGCACGTTTAAACCTCCTCATGTATTGTGAGATGCGAGGAGGAATGCACGTTTAAACCTCCTCATGTAGTGTGAATACCTACAGAAAGTTTAAACCTCCTCATGTAGTGTGAGATGCTAGAGGTATGCACGTTTAAACCTCCTCAAGTGGGGGTGAGATGCGAGAGGTATGCACGTTTAAACCTCCTCATGTAATGTTAGAGGCTAGAGGTATGCACGTTTAAACCTCCTCATGTAGTGTGAGATGCAAGAGGTACGCACATTTAAATCTCCTCATGTAGTGTGAGATGCTAGAGGTATGCACGTTTAAACCTCCTCATGTAGTGTGAGATGCTAGAGGTATGCACGTTTAAACCTCCTCATGTAGTGTGAGATGTTAGAGGTATGCACGTTTAAACCTCCTCATGTAATGTGAGATGCGAGAGGTATGCACGTTTAAACCTCCTCATGTAGTGTGAGGTATGCACGTTTAAACCTCCTCATGTAGTGTGAGGTATGCACGTTTAAACCTCCTCATGTAATGTGAGATGCGAGAGGTATGCACGTTTAAACCTCCTCATGTAGTGTGAGATGCGAGAGGTATGCACGTTTAAACCTCCTCATGTAGTGTGAAATGCGAGAGGTATGCACGTTTAAACCTCCTCATGGAATGTGAGATGCGAGAGGTATCCACGTTTAAACCTCGTCATGTATTGTGAGATGCTAGAGGTATGCACGTTTAAACTTCCTCACGTGGGGTGAGATGGTGAGATGTAATGTGAGATGAGAGGTATGCACGTTTAAACCTCCTCATGTAATGTGAGATGCTAGAGGTATGCACGTTTAAACCTCCTCATGTATTGTGAGATGCGAGATGAATGCACGTTTAAACCTCCCTCATGTAGTGTGAGATGCTAGAGGTATGCACGTTTAAACCTCCTATGTATTGTGAGATGCGAGAGGAATGACGTTTAAACCTCCTCATGTAGTGAGAATACCTGGCAGAAAGTTTAAACCTCCTCATGTAATGTGAGATGCGAGAGGTATGCACGTTTAAACCTCCTCACTTGGTGTGAGATGCGAGAGGTATGCACGTTAAAACCTCCTCACGTGGGGAGATATGAGAGGTATGCACGTTTAAACCTCCTCATGTATTGTGAGATGCGAGAGGTATGCACGTTTAAACCTCCTCACTTGGTGTGAGATGCGAGAGGTATGCACGTTTAAACCTTTTCATGTAGTGTGAGATGCGAGAGGTATGCACGTTTAAACCCCATCATGTAGTGTGAGATGCGAGAGGTATGCACGTTTAAACCTCCTCCTCATGCAGTGTGAGATGCGAGAGGTATGCACGTTTAAACCTCCTCATGTAAAGTGTGAGATGCGAGAGGTATGCACGTTTAAACCTCCTCATGTCGTGTGAGATGCGAGAGGTATGCACGTTTAAACCTCCTAATGTAGTGTGAGATGCTGGAGGTATGCACGTTTAAACCTCCTCCTAGTGTAAAGTGTGAGATGCGAGAAGTATGCACTTTTAAACCTCCTTATGTAGTGTGAGATGCAAGAGGTATGCACGTTTAAACCTCCTCACGTGGTGTGAGATGCTAGAGGTATGCACGTTTAAATCTCCTCATGTAGTGTGAATACCTGCAGAAAGTTTAAACCTCTCCTCATGTAATGTGAGATGCTAGAGGTATGCACGTTTAAACCTCCTCATGTAATGTGAGATGCTAGAGGTATGCACGTTTAAACCTCCTCATGTAGTGTGAGATGCGAGAGGTATGCACGTTTAAACCTCCTCATGTAGTGTGAGATGCGAGAGGTATGCACGTTTAAACCTCCTCATGTAGTGTGAGATGCTAGAGGTATGCACGTTTAAACCTCCTCATGTAATGTGAGATGTTAGAGGTATGCACAATGTAATGTGAGATGTAGTGAATTTATAAAACCTCCTCGTATGTTGTGATGGATGCGAGGTATGCACGTTTAAACCTCCTCATGTATTGTGAGATGCGAGAGGTATGCACGTTTAAACCTCCTCATGTAGTGTGAGATGCGAGAGGTATGCACGTTTAAACCTCCTCATGTAGTGTGAGATGTTAGAGGTATGCACGTTTAAACCTCCTCATGTAATGTGAGATGCGAGAGGTATGCACGTTTAAACCTCCTCATGTAGTGTGAGGTATGCACGTTTAAACCTCCTCATGTAGTGTGATGAGGTATGCACGTTTAAATGCACGTTTGAACCTCCTCATGTAGATGTGAGATGCGAACCTCCTCAGAGGTATGCACGTTTAAACCTCCTCATGAGATGTGAGGATGGTATGCACGTTTAAACCTCCTCGTGTGAGATGCGAGAGGTATGCACCTCCTCATATATGTGAGATGCGAGAGGTATGCACGTTTAAACCTCCTCATGTAGTGTGAGATGCGAGAGGTATGCACGTTTAAACCTCCTCATGTAGTGTGAGATGCGAGAGGTATGCACGTTTAAACCTCCTCATGTAGTGTGAGATGCGAGAGGTATGCACGTTTAAACCTCCTCATGTAGTGTGAGATGCGAGAGGTATGCACGTTTAAACCTCCTCATGTCGTGTGAATACCTGCAGGAAGTTCTGTACTGTTGGATTAGTCTGTGCTATTCTAGGAGACTCCACTTTTTATCTAGCCCTAGAAGCACCTAAATATAGTAACGTTAACAGTCCAACTTACATTAGACAGTAGTACTACATTCCTGACGATAAGTTATTGTTAACACAGTGTTGTCAACTACTACCGAATCTATATGATTGCTCATTTCCAAATTTAAGGCTTCAATTATAAACTTGATGTCCGATACAGTTCATTCTTTTACCACCCGTGAAGATCCGAGTTAGAATATTGATCTTCAGCAACCCATGCTTGTGTTAACAGGTGACTAATGGGATCGGGCAGTCAGGCTCGATGACTTGGTTGACACATGCCATCGGTTCCCAATTGCGCAGATCGATGCTCATGCTGTTGATCACTGGATTGTCTGGTCCAGACTCGATTATTTACAGACCTCTGCCATATAGCTGGAATATTGCTGAGTGCAGCGTAAAACTAAACTCACTCACTCATTCTTTTACCTTTTGTTCCCATGTTTTTCAGGTAACCAGGGC